TACTAGTAAGTCCTTAGGGGTGACCAAGCCAGAATGTCTTCATCAGGGTTTCCATTTACCGTGCCACCACAGCACCTCCACCCCGGGCTCCTCCCATCACAGGTTCACACCCAGGGCCACCTCATATACCATTTACCCACCACAGGTATCTATTTCCAGGGGTGCCCAGGTAGCACCCCACGACAAGACTTGCCCCAGGCTCATCGTATACTCCAACTTGGTCGACACAACCCTCACCCTCCACGCACCCAAGTCACACACGCAACACTCTCCCCATAGTTCAGATAACACTAGTTTCCACCATGCATCAATGTAGTACAAGCGTAGGAGTAATAAGTAGTGAAATATAGCAGCAAGCGTGTGACTTAGCCTAACAGCAGGGTGAGCAGGGGTAAGGTTGCGTCAAGGTAAAGGCCATCAAGAAAGCATACTACCATGCAAGTCCTATCATAGTGTGATTATAACAATAAAGTAAAGCAATAGCAGTTCTATATTAGCCATGCATAATAGGTGCTACGAGGTTGGGTGGGATGTGGCACCTTCAGTGTAGTCGTCTCCGTACTCCTCACGGTACTCTCGGTCCTTGTTCCTCTGGTTCTCCTCCGAGTCTGCAAACGATCGCATTATAGTCGCGTTAGCGACGTCTATAGAATAGCACAAAGAAGCAATGAAAATTCAAAAGAGCCAAATGCACTCAATCATGGGTTCATTGCGTAGAGCTCGATTTTAGATGAATTTTGGTCCTGGTCTTGTATTTTTCTAAGGTCGTATGAATTAGTTATGAATTTCCGAAGATTAAATCCATTTTTAAAAATAATTAAGGCTGATTTATTCAAGGCTAACACGTGTCACACTGTGACTGGTTTACGTGGCATGTAGGGACTTGGAGTGGTGTAACAGCTGGTGAGGTGGTCGGAGAGGCCGCCGAGGTGGTCGGAAAGGTCACCGAGGTGGTCGGAGAGCTTGCCAAGGTGGTCGGCGTGATCGCCGAAGTGGTTGGGAAGATCGCCGAAGTGGTCGGCGAGATCGTGGAGGTGGTCGGAGTGGTCGCCGACATGGTCGAAGAGATTGCCAAAGTCCCCGACGCTGGCATGGTCTCATCTTTGGCATGACGTCAGCATGGCGTCGTTAGAGCTAAACCACGGCTGACAGGTGGGTCCCGCTGACGTCAGCATGACGTCATCATCTCGATTGGTCACTGATAGGTGGGTCCAGGGTCAAACGGTGACTGATAGGTGAGGCACGGTTCATGGTGAACCCGCCAGCATTGGTCCATAGACCGCAGAGCCGGTCTATGAAGGTCTTGGTCCACTTACTCCTTCCCAGGGTTCGGTTCACGTGCACCAAGTGCACAGACATGTGGTCGGCGAGAGGAAAATCCCCATCTTCGTCCCCGGCGTGCTCCCACCGGTGGTGAGCTCATCGGCGAGCCCCTCTAGCGGCGCGGGTGTGCAATTAAGGTGGGCAAAAGCTTGGCCTTGTCATGGCGGGTGCCCCGATGAAGTTAACATGATGGCCGGGCGGCTCCAGTTGGCTGGCCACGATGGCGGTGATCCTCATACATCGGCGAGCGACGGTGTGGTGGCGGTACCAGAGATTGGTGGTGCACACGAGCTCCCCGACGCTGCTATGGTCATGGCGAGCAGGTCGAAGGGGCTCCGGGAGCTCTCAACGCCTTCGGCCACGGTGGTCAGGGCAAAGCGGAGGTGGTGGCACTCCGACGAGGTGCGGTGCGGCAACGCAGGGCTCCGGTGGGCTTCATCCTCAGCTAAGGTGAGCGCGGTGTGTCTTTCGTCATGGCGGAGCCAGTCGGGGTGTCAACGTCGCCTTTACCACGATGTAGAAGACGCGGTGGTCTCGCCATGGTTGCGCTCTGGCCATGATGAGCGCGTGCGTGCGTGCGATGCGTATGCATGGCATGAGCAGAGCGCTCGGCGCTGGCATTCCCAAGCAAAGGGCTCGGCGTCGCCCCCTTTCTTCCCTTTGCTTCGCGTTTCCGTTTGGCTTAACAAGAGGGTCGTGGTGGACCTTCTATGCTACCAGTTGGCTAAGCCGGAGCAAGAGCTCGTGCTCCGACGTGGTCCGTTCATGGCGTCCGAGAGGCTAGGAGTGGTTGTGCCGGTGTCCCCGAGCCGCTAGGGGTCGGTGAGGCCAGGCCTTGGGCTTGTGCGCGTGCGGTGCGTGTGCAGCGTGTCCAGGAGCGGGAATGCTTCGCCTCTGCATCCCCTAGGTGCGGGAACGCGGTGGCATTCATGGCGAGTATGGCTAGCGCGGTGAGCGGCGAACGACGTGGCTGACCGTAGGGCTCGTGGCAGTAGGATGGTGGTGCGGTGGCGAGGCGAGGCCGTGATGAGGCGATGCAGTGCCATGCCGAGCAGCTACGTCGTTGTAGACGATCGGGGCGGCGCTCCTGGCTCCGGCGAGGTTCGGTGCCGCAGCGGCTTCCTTCTCCTCCTTGCTTCTCCCTCCTCCCTCTCTCTTGGCTTGACGCGGTGTGGTGCTATGCCACCAGCGGTGGTGGCGAACGGGCTGAGGGTTAGGGCTCGCGGGCGTTGGCTTTTATAACCAAGCTCCAAGGGCTCCAATGGCGGACGGCGATCGGGCGGTGGTGATGCGTGCGGCGCATCCGACAACCCGCGTGCGGTAGCGTAGGCGCGGTGCAAGGGGGAACAGGGTCATGCGATGTGCGTGACCCCGGGCCCGCGTCTGCTCTGTGGTCGGCTCCCGGTCGCGTGGTGGAGAGAGCGTGGGGAAGACGACGACGCTGTAGCTAGGCGGCTGACAGAGGAGGCCCATTTGCCAGCTTGTCCTGATGCGGCGGCGTGCGGTGCGTGTCGGCTGACGGGCGGGTCCGGCTCATCAGCGGCTATGCGCGTGCGGGCGGCGACGCTGGGCCGGCTTCGTAGGCTACGCGCGTGAAAGGGCAGGCGAGGCTTGGCTGGGCTAGCTGCTCCCTCTACTTTCCTTTCTCTTTTATTTCTTTTGCTTCGATTCAAATTTAGTTAGAGTTTAAACTTGAGCTTCGAGTTATGTAGTGGGTCCCACAAGGTGTTTCAAATGGTGGTCAAAATACATCCCACATATTAGGGATTATTGGCTATTTTTGTTATACAAAAATAGTTGAAGTTTTTATATATGGGTGTTTTATTCTTCCAACAAATAATTCTTTACTTATGATTTATCATAATTATTAAGTAAGTTAGTTAAACATCACATAAGGCAAAAGAATCCAAATCACAAGTGGAATTAAGGATGCATGCATGATTTATTTATTTAGAAATTTAATTACACATGTGGCATAAAACCAAGCTATGCTTATGATCTTAACCTAGTTGGGTCATATCTAATCCAAAACTAGGGTTTGGCTTCTACATGTGTCACTCAACATCACAGGGTTTAAACAAAAAAATTTATAGTTGTGATTTTTGGTGTGTGGATTTTTGGATTGTTACAACATATATGAGGAGTACTGTTTCATTTATAATATGAGGAGTATTGTCTTATTCATATGTGAAGGTCGTTCATTTATTTTATATCATTTCCTTAATTTCTTTATAGAAATTTTATTGGATTAATAATCTTATCATCAACCTTTTATTTATAATAATGACAAGTATTCTTCTCTGATTAAATTGATGTCTAATTAAACTGTTGTTTGAATGACATGTTCAGGCAGTTTGCTCGCTGAGATTTATTCTCACCCCTTTATATTTGTAGGTGCTTGATTTGGATGCTTTGCTTGAAGGGAGGGAATTAGTGGCACATCTTCACTGTTTCACACACTATTAGAGATAATAACGATGTTTTTGGCTTGCTGTAATAAAGTAGTTTATCGGTCATGGAGATCCTTCATGTTTTCAAAAAACATAGTGATGAAATTTATCTTAATCATAGTTTTGTTCGTGTGCTTGCTTCTGCGTTTTACTTTGACGAAGGGGTTTTGATACCGAGTTTTCATGCTCTGGCACGTGGGAAGAGACGTTAGTAACATCTTGGGCTTTTTTTGGCACCTGGGGTGTGGGTGCTGTTATGCGGGCGTCGCGTGATCGGCTATCGGTTGCGTAAAAGAAATTCCGATGGCAAAACCCGATTCTGCAATTAATATTTCCATGTTCTCGCCAACCGAAGGGGCTTGACCATAATAAGTGCGTGAGTGCCATATATTTAGGGGGTGTTTGAATTCTTGGCTAAAGTTTAGCCCTTATCACATCGGATATTCGAATACTAATTAGGAGGAGTAGACATGAGCTAATTATAAAATTAATTGCAGAATCCCTAGGCTAATTTGCGAGACGAATGTACAAAGCCTAATTAATCTATCATTAACAAATGGTTACGGTAGCACTACGTTGTCAAATTATGGACTAATTGGACTTAATAGATTCGTCTCGCAAATTAGCTTCTATCTTTGCAACTAGTTTTATAATTAACCTATGTTTAGTACTCTTAATTGGTATGAAATCGGGCCTTATTTCACAGGAAGAATGTTTAGGTGCCATCGTAATAATTAATCTCTTCAGCTGACCATCCTTATCAGCTAGAAGAAAATTACAGTATTTATCCTCGCCGGGGCTGGACCATATGTCTGTGGCTCCATGGCTTCGTGATGTGTGGTGACAATTCAGAGTGACTGCAGCCGTGTCTTCCTCGTCCTTAATGATTACCAGCCAACTACACCTGCACTGATTCAAAACACACACACAGACACACCTGCACTGCACATGCATACAAGAGGTGTTCTGGCCGAACTCCATCCGACCACCTTAAATTCGGCGTGAACCATGACACAGACGCAAGGGAGAACCGGTACATCGTTGAACGCATTCATAGCTCAACTACCATCTCCTCACCTGCCATTCCATTCCGTCGATCTTCTCGTATCCTCGTCTCCATGATGCTGACCAGGGAATGGCACACGCAAGAAAACTCTATAAATCGAGGAGCAATTCCTGTGGATGTGTGCAGGTATATATCCAGAAACCCAGAACTGAGCACAAGCAATGAGTTACCTCCTCAAGAGCAGGAGCGAGCCAAAGCTGAAGAAACAGGCGTCTTCAGATGAACAGCAGGCAAAGGTCAGACGCTAGGCTCAGCCGCTTACATTACATATATACTATAGTAGAGCAGCATCGTTTTTGTACAGAATAAAACGGTGGTTAACTAAAGTATAAAATCTTCATCTCCTTTTCGGTGAAAGTAAGAACTTCCGCAGGAAATTCATTAGTGCGCACCTTACAGAATACAGAAATGGTCTTCAGTAACTCTAACTCGTCGATATGGACATACTTATACAGATAAATGAGGTACGGGAACTCCTGGGTGACCTGCCAACAGAGATGCCAGGCTTCCTGACGGACTCCACCATCCGCCGCTTCCTCCGTACTAGAGACTGGAGCACGGTGCAAGCGACCAAGGCTCTCAAAGAAACTGTCAAGTGGAGGCGTCAGTACAGGCCGGACAAAATCCGTTTGGTAAGTCAGTAGCCGTATATTATTGGATATGTATATTGCCTTACTGAGCTGGTCTGGGAGTGTATATTTCTTTGACGTTTGGAATTTAAGATAAAATTTGAACTCGTATGATTCGCCCCAAATATATAGGCACAAGTTTATATTGTTGTAAAAGGTCACTGTTATGTATTCTTTTGTGTTTATGTTATCTTTAGTCACAAAGAGCAAGCTTTTTCTTGGAATTTATGTCAGGAAGACATTGCTGAAAGGGAGCATTTGTTGAAGAAAGCGTATATAGCTGACTACCTCGACAAGAATGGGCGAACTGTGCTGGTAACAATGCCGTCAATAAAGGTCAGTTTTAGTAGCTCATCTAGTTGTCCAAAATAAATATAGAAATCACGCAAACAAACATTTTCCAGTAAATAAAATAAAATATATAAAAGTGCGAAACATATAGCTTCAATAGAGTAGATACATTTTTCCTATGCAGGCTAATATGAACATAATTTTTGTATTAATTCTATTAGCTTTGTTAAAGTAGTTGGTAAGTACTAATGGTACTTTTAGGAAATTTTCTTCTTTTTTTTTGTGGTCAATAGAATTTTGTGTACTAATGGTACACTTTCATCAAAGCCATGCTATGAAATACCCCAGTATGGATGACAACGGCAATATCCATGGACAATATCACATCCATATCAAACTAGCACAGATGCACAATTTCAGAAATGAAACGCAAGAAGTAAATCTACAAGTTTAGCTCACAGACTATTTGTTTAGAACACTGAACTTTTTGCCTATGACAATTCCATAAACCTCTATTAATTCTAAGTGATGTTCCTAGGACAAGCTGGTACTACATTAGGATTGAGGACAACACTAGGTAAAATACAGTTGAAGATCCATTTTCAGAAGGTGAAATCTTCTAGATGTACCACTGGTCCACTGTATATGAGTGGTTCAGCAGAATTCAGGGTTTGCTTACCTTATCTTACTTAGAAAGAGAACACCTATAATAAAAAAACTATTGCAAGACAGCTAGAACTTCTATATGGAAGAAATTAATGCAGGAAAAAAAATTAGTATCAATCATTTTATTAAGCCCTGAGAAAAACCTGAATGAGGTGTCACAAAAGAAATGCACCAAAAATAATCATAATACTGTCACATAATCAGTAGGATTTATGATCGCAAAAATCAAACGCATACTCACCAATTGTTTCGTGCCTAATGATGACCACTTCCTTGAATGCATGCTCGTTTGATCTGCATAAAACTGTATGAGTGAACATCATTTGAATTGTGATTTTGGAATGATAAAATGGCAATAAATCTGCTCAGTTAAAATGACAGTACTAATTTGCTAATATGCCTTGTACTTCTCGCATTAGAAAGAAATGGACACAAATCCCTTGTGCTTCACAAGACGAGTGCAATTGATGGTACTACTTCACAGCTCATATGATCCAAATCAAAGAGAGATTGTTTAGATATACATGGAACACGAGGAAGGGATGAAGGGACAGTGACGGTTAGAAGGAGGAACGAACGAGGTAATTCAAAACTAATGACCAACTAAAACCTACTTATCAAAAACTATACAAGATCTATCTAAATGTGTACTATAGTTTTGCTAAGTTTTGCTATCACTAACACAAGAGAGTTATGTAACCTAGATTTTAATCCTATCAAATAACCTTACAAACTAGACTAGAAAAGGTAAGCATATAACCAAGAGATGCCATTAAGTATGGAAGTATAAATGAGGTAGAGAATGCAAACTCCCGTTGACGGTCGATTTTCCCAAGGTATCGAGAATCTTGCGCTGCCCACTAGTCCTCGTTGGAGCCCCTCGCAAGGGCCAAGCTTCTAGCCGGGTAACTCCGTGGATAGCCCCCGGGTCTTCCCGCGGTAACTCCTAAATTTTTGCTGACGAGATATGGTTGCTTCACGAAACAACTACCTCTTTCTCTTAGCTTCTTATCTCTCCTCCATGTCATAAAAAAATACTACATGGCATTGCATTAGATAGTATTTAAGACTGCTGATATGTAGCACTGTACTTGCCTTTAGTATATTTTATTCTGCCTTTAGTTGCATGAGACAGTCTTTCGGATCTGATTGTGGAGTTTGGATTGGATGCTGTCAACATTAGTGCCTGACAGCCTGAGTACCCTCGTGGGGTTGGAAGGAGGCCACAATACTGAGGTCACGCTCGACGTCCACAATCACTTCCCAATACCATAGCAAAAAGCCTTAATATCTGGCATATGAAATAACATTAAAATGTTTTGTATAAAGAAATATGTATCTTATATGTTTTGGCATCATTTTCTTCAAACATCATGCAAAAAAATTTTGATACTAACTTTACATTTGGGAGATCATACCAATGTCCGGTAGGGATTTCTTAAATTTCAAGAATAGTTTTTTACTTCTTTGTCCATAACATATATTTTGCTAATATTAAGGCGTATTCGAACAGAGCTTAGTTCCAGCGAAGGAGCAGGTCAAACTACTAGTTTACAACTTGGAAAGTTGTACCATGAGCTCAGAAAATGCACAAGAAAATATTGTTTGGGTAGTTGATTTCAGTGGATGGACAGTATCAAGTACTCCATTGGCGGAGTCACGTCAATCAGTGCACATAATTCAGAACTATTATCCAGGGTTGGTAGGAGCTGCAATTCTTTGCAACCCTCCAAAGATATTCGAATCCTTTTGGAAGGTACAGTATTCCCGAAAGCACTACTATACTCTTCTAAGTTTAACAACACCATTCATAATTCAGATATAGGTCGTCAAACATTTCATAGAAATAATAATATATTAATTCATTAACTGTATTGTCAATGTATATTGTGTTTTATATTTTTATGGCATATTACAATGGAATTAATGTCAAAGACATGTTCAATGGATAATTTGTTTCTTGAAAAGTTTATATGTTCAGAATGGTATGCTCGACCCCAAATACTGATGAGTGCACCCAGCGCACATGTAATGTACATAGTAGTACTTCTATTGTAGGCTCAGTTGAATATTGGAACTGACAATGTACCCTTGCATCCCTGAACTGTGCTTTCCAGAACATCTGCATGCCTTAGTTCTGAAAACTTGCTTTTGTAGATACTAAATTACTTCATCGAGCCAGAGCTGAAAGAGAAAGTGAAATTTATCTACACTAACAATTCCGAGAGCCAGAGAATAATGGCTGACATGTTTGACCTGGACAAACTGGAGTCTGCATTTGGTGGCCGCAACACCTCTGGTATCGACATTGTCAAGTATTCTGAGAGAATGCAAAGAAGAGATCAGACTAGGAATCTTCGTATTCGATAAAAGCAAATGGAAATTCCTCTTCATACATACCATTGCACTTGCACAGTTCGTCTTGTCGAAGTGTACAAGAATTCTACTCTGAGCAGCAAAGACGGGAAGACGAGATTGAAGCCTTGTCTTTACTTTATATATGACCTTAAGAACTGTTCAAAAAACTTAATAAATTAAACTCGTTTACTATGGAATTCTTGGAGGTTAAATCATAACAGATCAGGATGATTATGATGTCTGGTCGATTAGCTCCGAATGATTGGGATACCAGATTCTGAATGATCTGTGTAATATATATGAGATGTCATGAGAATTCATGGGCCATCCAAACTGTAAAAGTTCTAGATAGCCGGCTATGACCTTTAGCGTCTCATTTTTTTCTAGAGACTAAGAAGCAATGATGGGTTAAATAGCGTCTTAAACCATTTAGCGGCTGAACAAAAGACATGTCAAACATTAGGGAATTTAACATATATATAAACATAAAAGATGAACTGGATATTACAAATACCAACAAACCATTCATAATCTCACAAACATATCAGTCCATATATGATAGAAATGTCACAAACACATGAGTCACTACTGTTGTGGAAGTTTTTGGAGGCGGTCGTTTTGGATTAATGGAAGTGGGCACAGTGTCTGCCTTTGGTAAAGGGTCACTGTTAATCAATATTTTTAGAGGTGGGTGCGCTCTGTTAACCCCATTAACGGAGAGGCGCCTGCCTCCTTTAATGGGACTAACAGAGGCAGACTTCTTAAGAGAGGTGGATGCACTTAAGATGCCCGCATCCGTTAATGATTAATAGAGGCAGCTTGGATTATTTCATTTCTCGCCATCATACTTGAATTATGTTTTCACAATTATAAGATTGTTGTAAACTGAATACGATGTACTTAGAAACACCACTGCCAGCCCCAACGATATGATATGCATGCTATATATAGGGAGAGTATACTTGGTAGCTAGCTACACTAGTCAAGCGTCCGATCTTAGACAGCTTTGTGGCTTGTGGACTCTGTCGTAGCACACATAGAGATTGTGCGGTGCTCCGAAGTGAGATCACATTGTGAGGGGTGTTGTGCTCGTCCCGTGGGAGATCACAAAGAGCAACTCAAGTAGAAGCAAGGTGTGAAGAGCGTCAAGTGGTTCATCCGGATCAAGTGCTAGAGTTCAACTTCGGAGCACACCTTGAGGGGTGAGAGCAAGCTTGCGGCCTTGCCACGAGCAAGAGGATCAGTGGCAACCTTCGGCTTGCCTCAACGGGAATTAAGTGGTTGGAAAACCACTGTCGGCACGAAAACGTATCGATCGTGCCGGGCACATGAGCAAGCCCGAAGGGTCTGCTCGATGGAACTGGAGATCCGCCTGGCTTCAACGCAGGGATGGTCGATCCTGCGTACTCCTCCCGAGACGTGCCAGTCAATTTGATCCTGCAATTGACAAGGAGAGAAAGTTTATCAGTAATTTAAGGTGGAACATGCCGGTCTGTGCCCAGACAGTTCCAAGTGTGCCGCTTCGGGAGCAGCCAGACGCGAAAGGCGACTAAATAGCCGATCCGCACACAAATCGGCTGTTACGGACTGTAAAGCTCGTAGATAGCGATTGATTTTAAGTTGACAGGTACAGTACACATATACGTAAATGAGAACATCAGCTAGGTAGATATTACAAGTATAAAACATTAAACCGATGAATCTAATCAGAAAAAGATATAGCACACGAATGAATCGACTATCTGATACGAACGGATCTACAAACGCTCTGAATCTAATCTTTTACCACCAACAGTGACGTTCGACCTGATCGATGGCAGCTATGCTGATAGTAACAAACCAAAGCCAAAGAATCCGTAAAAACGTCCGTACTTCAATAGGCTTTCCGAAAGACTCGCTATACGTGAAGGCTTGGATGAATCGGCTAAAATAACCGATTCAGGTGAAAAGGACTACAACATGTGAACAATCGACTATTTCACATGAACAAACCTATGGGCTCCTCAGACTCAACCTGCTATCTCTAACAGTGGGGTTCAACCGGATCGATGCAGCCGTGAAAAAGATAACGAATCAAACCCTTAAAGTACACAGATCTATTCACGATTAATAGAATCAGGGACGCACACCGTAGGCGTTAACGCATAGGCGATCGACTATTTAGCCGATGCAGGCATAATAAACAGCTAAGGTCATGCCTAACTAGGAACAAATCTACTAACTAGCGTCTTTCAATCTACAGTGCCATCAGTGCGGATCGACCGGATCGTTACAGCCATAATGGTGAACCATAAACCAGATTTAACTAGCTAGCAAACCTCTTCAAGATTATTCATGCCTTAACCGTGTACTATGAACGATCAAGATCGAAATAAAACAGTCGATGAAGCATAATCCGTCACTCAGAGTAAGAGACAGCGTGTTGTAGTAAAGCGAACGACGGACTGAAAGGATGTAAGACCGATCTAATTTGATCTCGACCAGGCGAATTGATGTTGCTGTAAACTAATAATAATGAAAACATCTGCAAGATCTATAACTTAATGAATCTACACGAAGGACGCCACCCTTAGATAGAGCCGATAACTTGACCTTAAACTAGTTCGAGCAGTGGAGGTCGACCGGATTGATGCAGCCGTACTTGAACTAGACAAGAGTCGATAACTAACTTATACCAGAGTCGCAGTGGAGTTCGACCGGATCGATGCAGCCGTATGAACAGAAGTATAAGCCATGACAGTACTTATAGACAAGCCAGGGGTCGGCCGGACTGATGCAGCCCTGCTCGCTGAAGAACTCATCGAGATCTACTCTACTCCTACTCCTGAGGGGTGGCCGAAGCCGAAAAAAGTAAATAACTTGTATTTGATTGATCGTGTGTTTTACAATAGCCGGGGTCCAATATTTATACCCGGGACCTACGCATGAATCCTACCTAAGCACGACTCGTTACAATTTTTGACTTAAGAGAAAATATTCCTAATTTAAGATAACTTGGACCCTAATCTTTTCCTTTTTGTAGAGTCCAATATGTTTTTCCTAGCGCCGATCGTAGCTTTTATCGTTATCTGCTGGCGCTATCTAAAGAGAGCCGATTCCAGTACTGCATTCGAATCAGCTGATACCGACCTTTATGCAAGCGATTCCTTGATGATATGATCTTGGCAGCTTTCGAGTTCCTGCAATTCTTCTTCCAAATTTTGGTGTAAACATATGCCCCCCAATTTTGGGATAAAAGTAATTTTATTCCAAAATTATCATGTCTGTACCCCCGATAGGTCCGCAGTCATGGGTAGAGAATCTTGATCTAGGGTCTAGTGTTTGTCACTATCTTTGCCAGCTTATGAGCCCATGCTTCAAAACTTTTAAGAGAGCATCATTACTTCACGGGCGCTTAGATCCATCTTTCCAGGCTGACTATAAAATGTCTATCCAACTCTGGCGAGAGCAATTCAACAACTCAGCTATGTTTCTCTTCTATTTGCTTCCTCGAGTGCTTCTGGCTCCGCCGAACCCTCCATGGTTTAATTCCTTGCTATGAGGATCTTGAGTGGTTAGAAGAATTCTTGTGCATAGGGTGATTGTGTCGCTCATCTTAGCGCCTTGTCGAGCAAGAGGATCAGCTACTATGGTTAGAAGAATTCTTATGATATCATTTGAGTCTTCTCTCCATGCTCGCAGAGCTGTTTTAGTGTTTGCAAGGGCAAAAATGTGTGCACACCTTCCCCTTGTTCGCTCCATCAAATGCCCATCAGGAAAGCCACAGACTTCTTTCCCATAGTTTCTCAGTCACCGAGAAATCAACTGGGCATCTGTTAAGCAGGCGGCCTTTCCCCTTCTCCTGGCATAATTTTATCAATGGGCCGATGTGACTCGGTTCATGATGACCTTCGGCCTTGTGGGGATCTGGACTCCCTTCAATCCAAAGAAGCCTTGGTGGGTTGATCGCTGGTCAATGTAAACCTTTCGTATCCATCCTTGATATTTTGTGATTATAGGAAGCAATAAGTCCGAATCTGTTATCTCTTCGTTATCCGTCCCCTGAGTTTCCAAAGTGTCGATCCGTCTCCGTATCTGACTTCAATTCCATAACCCTGGCGAAATCTATCTTCTCACTTTCTGGGCTATATATACGGGCCACGGTTGTGGATCGAAAAATAACCTACTTCATCTCAAACCTTTCCTGTCTTTAGTGCGGTTTCTGCTTTTCCATAGGTTTGAGATCATGGAGAACAATAAGAGGTCTACCGAGGAGGCCCTCAACGGAGCTACATCATCATGCCAGCGTCTTCATCACCAGGAGTGTGCAACTCATGATGCCCCCACTGCCTCGGGGCATAGGTCTGACTCCATTTAGCCTTCGGAGTTCTCTTCATCAACAGCTCACCACCAGCTCCCCTGCTATCTAAGGAGGTGGATCGACAACGATGATCTGCTCGCCTCCATCGATAGGCATGGCCAGAATCTTGCCGACTGCCTCTCCCTCGTAAAATCAGCTCTGGCCATGGTCTGATGCCGATCGCCTCCTGAGGTCGACTTGGTGGAGGATAGGTTGGCCAAGGACGAGGCCAGAATCATGGGTGAGATGCCTACCACAACTTTTTGTCTCTCATTAATTTTATCTTCAAGATCTTGAACATCCCTCCCTTGAATCTTTTAGATCTATAGGCTCAGCTGGAAAGCCTCCGATCAGCTATGGAGTATGCGGTGGGGTTCGTCAATGCTAGAGGCGCCGTTCCGGATTTCTTCAACGCCACCAACTCTGTAGCCCTTACTTCCCAGGCCGATGATATAGTAAACAAAGTGTTGTCCGGCCTGTAGCTTGTAATAGGTGATATTAGCAAACAATTCCTTCATCTTAAGTGATTTTTCTTTTGCTTCGTACTTCATATCCCATGCACCAATCTATCCGTGTTTGTTTGGCTCTTATAGGCGATACACATCATACCGGCTTCTACTCCTTCGGGTTTATTTTTGTACTAAAGGCGATACCCTTCTGGTATCGGCTATTA